AAACTACAGATCTGTTCAGAAGTCAATCTATGAAATATTTGGATATGTTTTTTACTTGATAAAATCAACAAACTTAAGAAAAGACAACCTTAGTTTTACTTTTTTGCTTTAATGGAATTTCAATTTAAAAGATCAATCATCAGAAATGCATATATAAATTTCTTGTTAAATAACCAAGTAGTTTTAAGTTTTTGTGACAATGCTAAATCAATTAAAACAATCTTAAAGTATGTGACATTTTTCTGGAACCAATATTTGCCTTTTTATAAAAAATTAATTAAATTTTGAGGTCAAAAACTATACATTTCTCTCTCTGTAGTCGGTCTTCACTCGAACCTGGGTGCGTGTTTGGCATTTTACTAGACACTCAGGTGTTTAACGCACTTAGCCCACAACAAGGTCAATGGTCAGTCCTCGTGTTACGGCCATTAGTCATTCAAGACAAACTATAAAAACTCACAGAGCCAAATGATTGCTGAAATATGATTCGGCGCGGAAAACAAGCGTGGGAATCGATTTTACTTTCCAGACTGCGTGACCATAATGCCCAGGCCTCGATTCCAGATATTAAGTGCGCCACGAAGCCATAAGGTATAAGCGGGGATTTGCCGGCATATTCTGGCACGTCACATATGTGGTCTCTTTTCCACTTTTACTGTCGCATTTCCGTCCTGGCTTCCGCCTGCCCCCATTCTTTATACTCGGCTCCCCGCACTTCTTATCGGGTCTGCGCCAAAACAGCGACTCGGGTCGAGATAACCACGCTGGGCAGGGCGTTTAGGGGTTTTAGCGGGCGCACATTAGTTGGAAATTGTCCAATTACCCACGTTCTCGGCAAACACCCAGTATCTCTCGGGTAAAAACGCGAAAAAAATAATATACAAACACCCAAACACAGTCGAACCTTCTCATTTCTCGAACAACCACTATCTGTCCAAATTTTAGTTGTAGAGGCTTTGCTTTGAAGTAAACTTTATTTTTAGGTCTATTTAATTGCTCAGTAGTTCATTTTTCTTATCAATTACAACTCTTTTATTCTTTAGTCATTAAAAGATTAGTGTTTTGCTTTAATAAAGCTTATGCTTCTCTTACATTTTCAAGATTGTAATGGTTTTTTGTTACTTTAAATGATATGTGCACAAATTATTAAGTTCTACTTGTTTTTATTTTCCAAAGCCAAAACTTAAATCTTATTCTAATTAACGATAATCTTGTTAATATAAAGTTTCTAATAGATTAATCTGTCAAAGCCAAAACTTAAATCTTTTTCTAATGAGTCGCTAAAAAACCTTTTAAGAAAGGTTTCACATGAAGAAGTTTGACTGTAATAGATACTACATTTTGCACATTAAAAAGATGGGCAAAAACACGGCACTAAGTGCACCCGTACGAACGAACAGAGACTGTCTAGCACACATTCCACTCTTCATATTGATATTCACTTACCAAGATTGCATCATCGCCAGCAAACATCATGGCCATATCTTGGAGTACTCAAATGCAATTTGCTGGAAATATCAATGCGGCCTTGTCAACAACATCCTCTTGTTTTGCATTGGCACAATTGGCTATTGACACTTTTTGTTTGCCATCTGTTGCCAATATTTCCTAGTCAGTGTACTCATTATCGTTTTCTTCATTTTGCAATACAACGCAGAAACTTATCAGTCATAGATCATGTCTATGTCTAGCAGCCCAGACTATATATTTTTAGAAACTGTCCTTAAATAACATCTCTCTTTGGTTTTCTCTTGTCTTCGTAGATTAATCAAACTAAAAGATAGATCAGCATTAGTTTAAGTAGGTAAATGTGTTGTCAATAATTTTTAAAATTCAGTAGAAAAAACCAAAGATAGATCAGCTTATGTTTTAATAGCTTAAATCGTCGCCGACGATTCTCAGATTTCATAAGAAAAGAAAGAAATGCTAAAAGAAAGACAGTTATTAACACCTGCCTCCGAGAAATCCATATAAATACGTATGCAAATTTGCTCGCTCACATAACGAGTTCAATGAACATTCAAATCGTATCAGAAACGGAAATAAGTTGAACGAAAGGGGAAAAAAGAATTCGTGTGAATATTGCTTAAGCGTGAGTAGTCATGGGAAGACCCTATCCTCTAATTTATTAATTAATCACTAAACGCTTAAAAGTGGACCACTCAAAGTGGTATTTCAGCACGTAAACAGAGTCATACTGGGGTTAATTGAGAGATAGCTTTCATAGGAAACGGAATCGGATAAGGTCCACGTCCCAACACTAATAGAAGGGGTATAATCTTATCGGTAGACGTTCCTACGAACGTCACCAACTGCTCGGCTTTGGGAGTGGGTCGTGATTGGCATTACAAAAAACAAAAAAAAAAGAAAAGAAAACTAGGCCAACAAGTTGTACAATTTGTAAAATATTTTAATGAGCTATATCTGTCGTTTTAGCCCGGTCTGGATGAAGTGGTGAAGAAGTGCCGCAATGTGAACCTCTTCTTCTCCACGGACATCGAGACGGCCATTAAGGAGGCGGACCTCATCTTCATCTCGGTGAACACGCCCACAAAGACCTGCGGCAGTGGCAAGGGTAAGTACCAATTATGCAAATATTTACAAGATAAACGGAGTGAACACCTCTAAGTGAGGTCTTACTATATGCGTTATATTTTAAGTCTAGGTTTTGCAATTGCAATTCGAAGACTGAAACCTGTTGATTATAATAGCTACAAGTGTCGGAAGCGACACTAAGTAAAACCATGTTTACAACTAAATTTATATTACTACAACTATACTTAAATCATCATTATGATTGCCTTTTATCATTATATTAGCTATGTAATTTTATTATTACTGTATTTATATAGCTAAAATTTAACAGTAGAGTATTGCATTTCTTACTAAAATAATAAACTAAAATATTATGAAATGTCATCGGAATTTTCGTGAAATAAAATAATAGAAAGGAAATTATATTAATTATTATAAAGCAGAATATTTGATAAATATACTTTACTAAGAATTAACAGAATAAAAAAGCAATGACTACAATAAATAGTTAAATTTCAAGGAAATTTTTACATGAGCTTGATTGCTTTAAAATTAAGTAGAATAAAGATTTTGATTAATTGCTTAGGTCAGGAAATGCTCCCCTAAAGGACACTCACTCTTTCGATCGTGTGTTAGTAACTAAGCAGTAGTTAAGACCAATTATTCATTACTCTATTCTCTATTTCACAGGACGAGCGGCGGACCTCAAGTACGTGGAGAGTGCGGCCCGAATGATCGCAGAGATTGCGCAGTCCAACAAGATCGTGGTGGAGAAGAGCACGGTGCCCGTGCGGGCGGCGGAGAGCATCATGCACATACTGCGGGCGAACCAGAAGCCCGGCATCCACTACGACATCCTGTCCAACCCTGAGTTCCTGGCCGAGGGCACCGCCATCAATGATTTGCTGAATGCGGATCGCGTACTGATTGGCGGCGAGGAAACGCCCGAGGGCCATCAGGCGGTGGAGAAGCTGTCCTGGATCTACGAGCACTGGATACCGAAGCAGAACATCCTCACCACCAACACGTGGAGCAGTGAGCTTTCGAAGCTGGCGGCGAACGCTTTTCTGGCCCAGCGCATCTCCAGCATCAACTCGCTGTCGGCAGTGTGCGAAGCCACCGGGGCAGATGTCTCCGAGGTGGCGAGGGCCGTGGGTCTGGATTCCCGCATCGGTTCCAAGTTCCTGCAGGCCTCCGTGGGCTTCGGAGGCAGCTGCTTCCAGAAGGACATCCTCAACCTGATCTACATCTGCGAGAACCTCAACTTGCCCGAGGTGGCCGCCTACTGGCAGCAGGTGATCGATATGAACGATTACCAGAAGCGTCGATTCTCCCAGAAGATCATCGAGAGCTTGTTCAATACGGTGTCAGACAAAAGGATAGCCATCCTGGGATTTGCCTTCAAGAAGAACACTGGTGATACCCGCGAAACCGCTGCCATAACCGTATGCCAAACACTTCTGGAAGAAGGCGCCGCACTGGATATCTACGATCCCAAGGTGGAACCCGAGCAGATCATCGACGACCTCACGCATCCAAGTGTTACGGAATCCCCGGAGAAGGTGAAGAAAGCGGTGCAGATCCACAGTGATCCCTACAGTGCCGTTCGAGCCACCCATGCCCTGGTCATTTGCACTGAGTGGGATGAGTTTGTGGACCTGGACTTCAAGCGCATATACCAATCGATGATGAAGCCGGCGTACATCTTCGATGGCCGCAAGATCCTCGACCACGAGAGGCTGCAGCAGATCGGCTTCCATGTCCAGACCATTGGCAAGAAGTACCAGCGCGCTGGACTGCTCCGCTCCTGGGGCATTGTGCCGCAGCTTTAGGCGCGAAGGGCGACGGAGGTGGTGGCGTTTACACTTAAAGTTGGCGAAATTTCCAGTATTTGCGAGACTAAATTGTAAATATCCGTATCAGTTTCTGTAACTTAGTATATCTTAGAGTGGGTGGATTTAAAGGACGAAGAATATTTAGGACGAAAAGTAATCTGCAAATAATTCTAAGCTTAAATCTTGGATCTTATAACTACTATATCAGTTTGACCCTACTTAAGTTAATGTAAAACAATAATCTTTAACTCGGTCAATTCCTATTAAGTAAAATGTCAAGAAAACATCGATTCTTAGCTATAACTTGATTATCTTGTTTTAAAAATATTTTTTTTTGTATATAATTGCAATGCAAAATTCGAATTTGAAAATGAAAAAGGTCAAAATCATTTTAGCATTTTCTATAAATTTATATTTGATCCTCAAGTTATGAAGTTTTTCCTGCAATTGACCCAATCTAAAGTGTGTGTTTTTAAATAGTTCAAGTATTCAGCTAGGCACGCCCGAGGGAAAACCTCAAACCGTATTTGTATTCATATTCCTATTCCCGGGCCGATCCGTCACTCGAGGATCGGTAGTTGCAATATAAGCCGCAGCAGGACAGTCCTGGCGGTTTAATAAAAACCAGCATTTACACAAGAGCATGTAAATTTTATAAAAATAACAACAAAGCGTTTGATTTAAGGCCTTCTCAGAAAGGTATCCTTTTGACTATTTGTCTGTACCAGAGGAACGAAGTGGCCGCCGATAAGCTGAACCAGGTGACCAGGTACGACAGGTGATCGTTGCGCAGGGTGACGCGTGTCTGGCCCCCGATGGGACCATTTTTAGCCGCCTCGACATCGTAGGTGGCATCCAGGAACACGGGAGCAGCCCCTGTGGAAGCGCACATCCGTGGCAGGTCGCGATATAGGTAGATATTGCCTTTGTGATCGGGTGTGAACTGAGGACGGGCTTCTCCTTTGCGCACCACGGCTGTGAGTTCCACTTCCGTCTTCACTTGAGCCAACGGACGTGTTTCCGGCTCCACTTGCTTGCGGGACACCCATCCACGATTGACGAGCACTATGTCGCTGCAGGAATGGGTAGGTTTAAAGAGGATTTAACTAGTTTTTTCCTCTGGCTAACTTACTCCCTGTCTGCCAGCTGAAAAGGGGTCACTATTAGATATCCATTGCCCGAATCCCGCTGCGAAAAGAGTCCTCCTTGGGTCTCTACGCCATCGGGACGTATGAGTGATCTTGGACCCATGCGCATCTCTTTTTCGTGCAGAAAACGTCCACGAATCTTGACCATACGGTACTCCATGTGAGAAAGGTCGCTGAGACTAAAAGCAAAACGTATTTTAGTAAGGCAAAATATTAAGGCAATGGGTGGGAAACATACTCTTCTGGTAAATCCACAGGAGCTGTGTTTAGTTGCTTACTAAGATCCTTGATCAACTGCTCCTTCCAAATCTTTCGCTTTACTTGCCAGCAACCAAGTCCAAAAGTAGTAGCTGGGATGAGCTGGAGGAATGGATTTCGGGATTTATATTAGATATTTAAATAGACCGAGAAATAAGGGTTTACCCACCAGCAGAAACCATCCCAAAGGAGCAATCTTTTCCTTGTCCTTGGCCGCCTTAGTCGGAATACTTGTGGTCCAATCCACCGGCGTTCGCTGTTGTGTCATCTTCCTGGTGACCAATTTCTGGGTACTGCTGCTGCCTGGGATACGGCACCCAGTCTGGACATTCAGGGCCACTTGCCGGCACATTTGCGTGCCCAAACGCAACATTTTTTTGTATTATTGTATATTATTTTTTCCAAATATTTATTTATTTACATTTCCAATTGGAAGTTGTGAGTGCTGATGTGACCGTTGGTTGCTGAAGGGCGCAAAGCTACTGGTCACACTAAAATTGAGCTATACGCTTTCTTTATTTTATAAATGAAACTTGTAGCCAAAAATAGTACTGATCAATTAAAAACCAAATGTTTAAATGGAAATGATTATTTTCTTATTGTTTTTCTCTAAATGCTTTAACAGTGCTTCTGTAATAAATCTGGCAAGGCAATGTTAGCGGAGGCTGTTAATTTATATGTAAGATCGAGTTGGCAGCTCTGCTAAAAACAGCTGTTTGGGGACTGTTGTCGCGTGCAAATAATTTTTTTTAACGATTTTGTTTTAGTGAATTTATAAAGTAGTTAAATATGCAGTGCACTCGTGCAGTTGCAAGACTGGCCAGTGGCATAGTCAGACACACATGGGTGGGTACAAAATTATGCAAACACTTCATTAATCCGAAATACAAGTGTTTGAATGCAGTGCATGCAACTCTTATATAAATGGGCCTACAACATTTTCAATTTCCTTATTACAGGTAACACACCAACCCTTTAAACAGACTCCATCAATATTAGGAACCTTCGAGCAGTCATGTCGTTTATGCTCATCCACCGGCGTTGTAGATAGTCCCAATAAAACCAAACCCGGCACAGGAGCACCCACAGAAGGCGGCATTCTAAAGAGAGTGCTTACCAAAGTGGGATTCACACCCAATACAAAGGCGGTATGTGCAGCATTGTTCCTATTTTTTGGTTTATATTTATCAAGATTATCTTATTTCAGCGCCTCAAGGTAACCAGCCATCTGTTGTACGAGAGCGTGGCCGATAAGATCAACTATGTGGCCTTCTTCCGCGACTTCAATCTGCCAAATACGTTCAACTCCTGGTTTCTGGTCACCGAACTGCACGTCTGGCTCCTCCTGATGCGCTCCATGGCCGAGGGCTCCGAAACGGGCGAGGACGGACGCTTCCTGCGCAATTGCATTGTGGAGGCCATGTGGGGAGATGTCAACACTCGAGCGAAGAAGTTGGGAGTAGGTTTTCTGTCTTTAATCTACCTCTACTTTTTAAATATCTTTGATACTTGAGCTAACCTATGTTTGTGATTCCCAACAGGCCCACAATCCCTCACGCACACGTCAGCAGATCGAGACATTATCCGAACAGTTCCAAGCGGCTCTCATCGCCTACGACGAGGGCATTATGTCCGACGACCGGATTTTGGCCTGCGCCCTGTGGCGCCGCTTCTTCGAGATGAACTGCGATGATTACGCGCAGATCGAGCGATTGGTTAAGTACGTCCGCATGCAAGCCGCCATGCTGGACAGTTTGTCGCGCGATCAGTTTATAATTAAGCCCAAGGTGGCCTGGCTGGATCTGGACAAGGTGTAATTTTAGTTTTTATTTGTTTTTTAATAAAGTTGAGAGTGTGTAAAGTAAAAGCTATATGACCAGATCACTCGTGGACTGATTACTCAGAGCACACAATTGGCACTTGAGCAGAAATGCTGTGATCCTACGTTCCGCCCGGTTTCGCTGGGGCTCCTTGAGTTGGGCAAGGACCTGGTCCATCTGAAGGAAACTGCTTTTAGGAGACAGTATCTGCGCTGTTTCCTGCTCCTCATAGATGATTTCCTCCTGGATGATCTGCTCGCTGGGCTCCTCGATGATCTCCTCGATAAGGAAGGTGCTTGGCTGCTGGGTGACTTCACCATCTTCGTAGGTTTCCCACAGAAAGTGCACGGGGGTTTCCTGCTCAACGGAATCCTCCTGTTTGCCGGAGGAATCTCTAACCTTTTGTTTGCATTTGGTCTTCGCTGGTGGCTGACTCTCGCCCAGAAATCGGAGGCGCTCCAAATACGGCCAGGTCGAACCACTGGTATCCGCCCGACGGATCTCTTTGCGGAATTGGTAGTGCAGGTTATTCCAGCGCATCAGGCAGAAGTCCACTGGGGAAATAATTACTGTATAACCGTGAAGATATAGAGGAATATAGATTACTTACCATCACAGCCCATCATCTCAGCTATCCGCGCCCATATATCCGTTTTGGCCTTCATTGCATCGTAATTTGAAAGCCCAGATCTTTTATATAGCACTGGATTGGGTTCCACCAAATCTATCAGCTTGAAATCGAATGGTCGATTTTTCTTGTAGCTTGTCCGCATTGTTTTTAACTATTTCTTGGGCTTTAAGTTGTTCACTGTGCGCCTTAAATATATGCAATTTATTAATTAATAATGGCTAATACTTTATTACATTTGTTTACTCTTAATTTAATGTTATGTTTAATGTTAATTTAATGTTATTGATTCCTCGTTTAAGCCATGTTTGTTTACTTTACAAAGTACGGTAATTAGTCGAATGAGTGAACACAATTTATGGACTAGAGGGTAAGGCATAAACATAAAGTTTAAAATTAAAACTTGTTTGTTTAATTCCGTTTCACTTTAACATACTTGCTGTTATCCTAAAGTATTCCAATATTTGTAATTAATTGTCCTTGTACAATTAAAAAATTTTTATGTGAAATGCAAAATATCTTAAAATAAATATTAGCAAGTGTTTAATTCTTTTCTCATTATTCCCTTATAAAATAAAAATACATTTTAGAAATATATTCTTTAATACTGTGCACTCATTGAGGGATTCCTGTACTCACTACTTGCAGTGTGCCCATCGCTCAGCCCAAATCATCGTTTTGCAACACTGCCACCACAAGCAACCCCTTTGAACTTTTCATCACTTTTGGTGCAACTGCAGTGGCTTCACCTGGTAACACTGCTTTTAGTGACGACGTAGGAGCTGGAAAATTGCTAAGTGAAAAATTGTGAAAAGTGCCCGAAATACTATAATTTGGCCAGCTATATTACCACTTGCAGCACACCAGTAATGAATATGTAAGTTCGCAAACACTTTCCCATAAAATAAACCGCTTTTTTGTCCGAAATTCAAGTTGCCATGCGGCCGGGGGCCGAGTGTCGAAAATCAATAAATTCAAAATGGCAGTAAAAAATGAAAATTACATAAAAAAAGATCGCTTGAAGCAAATTGAAACATTTTGGCTACGCATCAACAGGCTCAAAATTCTAATTTCATGGCGCAAAACGCTCGTTGCAGGTACAACGGACAGGTGAACGCCTACGGCGGCGGCGGTGGCGGAGGAGGTGGAGCAGTTGGTGGACTAGCCGGTGGCGGCATGGTTCCAAATCGCATGGGCGGAGGTGCTCCTGGGGGCGGACCCGGTGGAGCGGGCATGTTCCAGCGCAATCGCTCTGCCCCGTATCCCGGTTTCAATGGACACGGACCCTCCAACGGGGGACAGCGACGCATGAATGGCGGAGGCATGGGAGGACCCGGCATGGGAGGACCCCGCCAGCAGGAAGGATTTGGTGGTCAGAACGGAGGACAGCGCTCTTCCAATCACGGCGCCCACTTGCCCAAGATCGTTTGGTCCGAGGTCAATCTTACGCCCTTCCGCAAGAACTTCTACAAGCCCTGCGATTCGGTGCTGGCCCGCACTCCTGTGGAAACAGAGACCTTCCTCACCAGCAATGAGATCACCATCAAGGGCGATCAGGTGCCCACACCCAGTATTGAGTTCGAGGAGGGCGGCTTCCCCGACTACGTGATGAATGAGATCCGCAAGCAGGGTTTCGCCAAGCCCACGGCCATTCAGGCCCAGGGCTGGCCCATTGCTTTGAGTGGACGGGATCTGGTGGGTGTGGCCCAGACCGGATCGGGCAAGACCCTGGCCTATGTCCTGCCGGCGGTGGTGCACATCAACAACCAGCCGCGCCTGGAGCGCGGCGATGGACCCATCGCCCTGGTGCTGGCTCCCACAAGGGAGCTGGCCCAGCAGATCCAGCAGGTGGCCATTGAGTTCGGCAGCAACACGCATGTGCGCAACACCTGCATCTTTGGGGGAGCGCCCAAGGGGCAGCAGGCAAGGGATCTGGAGCGCGGCGTGGAGATTGTGATTGCCACACCTGGTCGGCTGATTGATTTCCTTGAGCGGGGCACCACCTCGCTGAAGAGGTGCACCTACCTGGTGCTCGACGAAGCCGATCGTATGCTGGACATGGGCTTTGAGCCCCAGATCAGGAAGATCATGCAACAGATCCGCCCGGATCGTCAGGTCCTGATGTGGTCCGCCACCTGGCCGAAAGAGGTGCGCCAGCTGGCCGAGGAGTTCCTTAACAACTACATCCAGGTGAACATTGGGTCGTTGTCGCTGAGCGCCAACCACAACATCCTGCAGATCGTGGACGTGTGCGATGAGAACGAGAAGTTGATGAAGCTCATCAAGCTGCTGACGGACATCTCGGCGGAGAACGAGACCAAAACCATCATCTTCGTGGAGACCAAGAAGCGCGTGGACGAGATCACGCGCAACATCTCCCGTCAGGGCTGGCGCGCATGCGCCATCCACGGCGATAAGTCGCAGCAGGAGCGCGACTTTGTGCTCTCCAGCTTCCGCAATGGCCGGCACTCGATCCTGGTGGCCACCGATGTGGCTGCCCGCGGACTCGGTGAGTAAACGTAGCCTTTGTGGGCCTGCAATGGCCACCTTCCGTTTTTTCTCTCCGTAACCAAGCAATTGTTGCCTGTGGATCAATCAGCATCCCGTGGGGTTTCATTCATTATTTTGTGATTCGTCGTCGACGCCTTCCTGGTTCGTCTGGTCTCAGCGATCCGTCAGCGATGAATCGGCCAACACCGCTCAGCCTCTTCGCTCTTCCTTCCGCTCTGTTTCCAGAACTTTGGAGGTTTTTTGTTCGGGTCAGTTCCGGATTTCACATGTCATTTTCGATTTGAGCTCAAAACGAAATCGAACTATTCCTTGGTAGCGGTTTTATAAATGGAATCGTTCTTCCGGTAAAAATTGATTTTCAGAGTGTAAATATTCACAGTTGGGAGCATTTTTTTTTTTTTTTTTGTATCTATATTTACACCAGTGGTCGGCACACATACTGTAACATGCTCGCACTTCTTTGTATGAGTAATTTGCACGGCGAGTCTTGTCAGTGTGTGTGTGTGTGTGCGGTTTTATACCGTTCGTGTCGGCCTCTGCCGCCGTTCTGCTGCTGCTCTGCCCACAAGGCAGAGATAGGAGCGTGCCGACCACTGATTTAGACCAATAACTTTTAAATGTTTTGTAAAAAATATTATTCAGTACATTTCGCTGAGCTGTATTTGATCTTGACTTTGTTTATTTTCATTGATATTTAAATCTTATTTTAAGTCCAGGTTCGTTTTGTTAGAAAATGTTATATTTCATGGCGGGCAGCTAAGCGAATGTACTGAGCTTTCAACTGGCGAACATCTAACGAACTTTATTATTTAGTGAAAGTGAAAACCGGAAAAGGACCGACTGCTTTTCTTTTTGCATGTTCGAATCTTTACCAGCCGAAGATACCTACCCTATTTATAATTTCCGGGAAAGTTTGGGCTTTGGATAAATTAATTTCAAGTGGTTCAGTTCCTGGTGGACCGCTTAGTTTCCATCGATCCCTTTTGTTTCTGCTGAATGATTCTCCGAGTACGAAGAAATGGTGTGGGCTCAAATAATGAGGGGAATGTGTTTGTTCTCCATGCATTGCTGGTTATATGATGTTGTTTACTTTTAGTTTGTTTGTTGCTCTCTTGCTCATAGTTTTTAGTTGTGTCTCGTCAATCACATTTTGAGTAACCTTATCGTATAAAGCAACTTATTGTCAGTCAAGGAGTCAATGGCCCAGCAAAATACTATTGATAAAATCAAAAGTAAATAATCCCAGTGCACTATAAAAAAATAACCCCTTAATCCAAGGCAAACCAATAAAGCTATGCCTTAAAAGTATATACATTTTTTCTTTTTTTTGTTTAGTTTGTAGTATAAATAATACGGAGAAAATAATGTGTTAAGAAATTGTAACATTTTGCGGCCCACGAATTTTTTGACTGATGCTAATTTTCTGTAGATTATTTATGTATCATAAAGTATTCTATACTATATTACGTCGCTCCTTACTCTATGTATAAAACCGAAATTTGTGTGTGAACAAAAATATCATCAGCACTTTATGAAATGGACTTCGATTTTTCAAATGGCAAAACAACTTAAAAGTTTAAAGCTAAAAGTTAAAAAGTTATATACACAAAGCAGTTAAAGAGAAAAGCTATATATACAAGTTGAGGGTTGAGTTATAAGTTTCTAGCATTGCGGAGATCCGTGGGATCTCCCTCATCGCGACCCAGTTGCCAGGACAGGATCTGCAGTGACTCTTCCGCGTAAGCCTAACTCTTACCCATTCTAACCCTAGATCTACAGGGTAAGTACTAGGCTAATTTACTTCTTCCTAATCATAGCAATATGTCCGCACCCCTCCTCCCTTTGTCCCATCAAAGAATCTAACCATCTCCTCCCTATAAAAGCCCAGCACCCTCTATCATAAGCTTTGATCATTCATTTATTTTTATATTAGCTACTTATAATATTAATTTTAATCAAGCCGTCTCTTGTATGCATTAAGCTTAAACATTTATATTACGATTTGTGTATTGCAAAAAAAAAAAGATATGAAAGTATGATGAGAAGAAAAGGTCGAGGTCCACATTTCTGCAGTATAGAAAAAACATATATCTATTTGCCAAAGATGTATAGTTATTAATATACGCTAATAGTATTGATGGCGAAATTTTTGTTCAAAGTACAAAACATACCAAAAAAAAAAACATGTAAACCGAATTACCAACCGACAAAGTCCATTCAACGATTCGATCAAGTATCTTTTAAGTTCTATTAACAAAGTTAACAACACAAATGATCGCCCCGATCATAAACAAATACCATAACACGTACACACACACGCACACGAAGACAGAACCGGACACAATCACACAAACCACCAAACCACACACAAATAAGTTTTTGTTTTTGTTGAATAGTTTCTTGAGTATTGAGAAAGATTCCTATTTTCGACGCATTGGTTCGATTCGATATTTTTAACGCTTCTTTTCACACTTCTTCAATTTCCAAATTCGAAATGAAAAATATAAATGAAATCAAACAGACGTTGACGATGTCAAGTTTGTGATCAACTATGATTATCCTTCGAACTCGGAGGACTACGTGCATCGCATTGGACGTACCGGACGCTCTAATAACACGGGCACGGCCTACACCTTGTTCACGCACTCCAACGCCAACAAGGCCAATGACCTGATCCAAGTGCTGCGCGAGGCCAACCAGGTGAGTGTTCCTTGGAACTTTAAATCCTAGGGCTCGAAAGATTGAACTAGGTTAATAATATGTATTAAAAAATAATGCAGTTGAAAAAGTAATCAATATAAAGCAAATTTAAATATTCATCACACAGACAAATGTAAAAAAAAATGTTATAAAAGTTTATAGTTAAAAAATAAAAGTTACATCGAACTCATTAAACTAATTAGGTAATTTTTATTCTTATTTTTATAAAATAAAACCTTTCACAGTCTATCGTTTGGTACTTTACATTTAACATTTAACAAATTACATACATGAAACATTTTAAATGGCTTATAAATGTAATAAATTAATAAACATAAAGTTTTATGTAAGTAATTTTTAAAGAATATTAACGAATTTAATCAAATTTAATAAGATATGTAGGGAATTCTTATTCTTCAATCAGATCGTTTTAAAAACTGAGTTTAGCCCATATATACTCTGAATTTAGATTTAAATATTGCGTCAATAGGAATATATTTCATTTAATTAACTTATTTTTTTGGGTAGTTTGTTTTATTTACAATTTTCTTCTATACAATACACCCAAATTGGCAACATTTCTTTTAAATAAAATAAAAAACTTTAGCTACCCAAAAAAGAGATTTCCTTTTAGAAACTAACAAAAACCTGGTTGATTTTTTTGGACCTATTTCCTTATTAACTTGTTGGACAATCCAATGTACTTACTTATTTTTTTGGGACCCTTTGTAGACCATCAACCCGAAACTGATGAACATGGCCATGAGCGGGGGCTACAACAAGCGTGGAGGCGGCATGGGTGGAGGCTATCGCGGCGGCAACGGCTATCAGGGCCGCAACCAGCAGATGGGTGGTGGCTACAACGGCGGCAACAACTACCGCAACAACAACGGTCCCGGCGGTAACATGAATCGCAATGCCTTCAACGGCGGCGGCGCAGGAGGTCCACCACGATTCGACCAGAAACCACGCACCTCGCCGCCGAACCAGGGCGGACAGGGTGGATACCGTGGCCAGGGAGCTGGTGGCTACCAGGGCCAGCAGCAACAACAACAGGGCGGCGGAGTGCCGTTCTCCCGTTTTAATCCCAATGCCGCTTGCTTCGAGCCCAACAAGGCGCAGAATGCTCCGGGAGCCGTGCCACCACAGGCCCAGCACCAACAGCAGCAGCAGCAGCAGCAGCAGCAACAACAGCAGGCGGCACAAGCTGCCCAGCAGCAACACCTGATGCCCGATGCGTCCGTGCAGGCCGCGATGACAGCGGCCAACTACGGGATCGACCAGAAGCGCTCCCGCTTCTCGCCGTACAACATGAACTTTGCCAACATGCCCCCGCCACCGATGAACCAGCAGCAGGCGGCCCAGCAGCAACAGTTGCAGACACCCCAGCAACAGCAGCAGCAATTGCAGACGCCACAGGCCTATGGCCAGTACTCGTCGATGTCCTCCAGCATGGCTACCGTGTCGCTGAACGGAGGAGCAGCGGCGGTGGCCAACTCTTACCGCGCCCAGTATGCCGTGCCCACGCAGGCGGCTCCCTATATGATGGCAAACGGCGGCGATATCTTCGCATATCCGCCGCCTCCGCTGCCCGTGCAGAACTAGAGGCTCTATAGTTCGAAAGAGGCTACCAAATTGTAGATCCTGCTCTACTGTAATTTCCTTTCCCCACACGAACATTACACGCACATCCGTACACACCACCCGTATAATTGTACACACAAGTCACGATAACAAGTCTTGGGACTTCGTAGGGAAGATGTTTGATGAGCGTCGTTGATGTACGTTTCGTGTAGATCTCCTCCGCCCACGTCTTAGCTATATAATATGGTTTAATCTGGAATCAAATACGCTTTTAATTTGATAAATCTCTTTGTTTCCCCAAAAAAACCCAATTTAGTTGATAAGCTTTTGGTTTAGTCAAATTGTTAGGGCATTCGAGTGCCGATCATCGATGTTGTTGGCATTTATATTTCCACAGCCCTGGGCGTATTTGATTTCTATATACAATTCTCGAATATTGTACCTATCTATTCATATGCAATGCAAAGGAAATGTTTGCAATGCTCCAACCAAACCCAAGCCAAAAGAGATTAGATGCAATCGGATGATTAGGAAACACTAGCAGGGAAAACACTCCCGCACACCTTTCACACTATCGGACACACACATACACATAAGAAACAATGTCAATTTCTTAGAATCAAATGCGTATAATCATGTCATCTTAAACCATATTATGTGACTAGTCTAATGAATTGCTTAGCTGGATACTTTCAAACAAATACAAATACAAAATCAAACATACGAGAAACAAAACATATTAACACTTTCAGAATTATGAAATGCAATTCCATTTTATGTGAGCCCATAAGTATGAATTGATAACAAGATATAAATAAAGGAATTAATTAGAAGTTCAACTGCCTGTTATGATTTATAGCATTTAACAAATAAAAAAGACGGTAAGTGTTTAAACTTAATTGATTTGCTTTTATTTTCCATTTTTAATATATATATATATATATCCATATAAGAAAAACTATTATACATCCAAAATTATCATAATAATAAATAGAACTAAATTATACAAATATTACTAGACAGCTTCATCCGTTAATTGCATATCCAACGAACATTTTATCATCCTCATCATCATCTTCAACGTTACACCATTTCGAGAATTTGACGGAAAATATTTGTTAAAAAATTACACCATGAGATTTATGACTAACAAAATTGCGTGAGAATGTAAAAGTCATTTGTTTGTTACACTTTATATTATTTACTTTGTATGATTTGTGTTTGCTTTGTTTTGGCTCTATCCTTCTCATCCTCCTCCTCCGTATCCTCTTTGTGGCATTTGCATATATATCGCTTTATAACGTTATACTCGATTCCTAAATCTATGTACCTTGCGCTTTCTGATCCAACTCGCTATATCCCTATTCTACTCGTACTCTCTTTGGCTGCCTCTTGAATATTTTTTGTAGTTTAATGCTTTACTTGTTGCTGCGCATAGGTTTAGTTTAGTTGTTCATCTTGTTTGTTGTAAGTAGTACGCATATAGGGGCTCGATCTGCCCACCTGGGGGGTTCTGAAGGGTCTGAAACATTGAGTGCAGTTTTACAATTTCTTAATTGAATTTCTTCGATTTTCTTATTTTTTTTTTGTTGCTTTTCCTTGGTTTTTTTGTCATGGGGTTCGTTTATAGTTTTGGTTAATTTTAGTTTTCATCTTTGGCTACAGTTTTGTCTTGCAACTGTGTGGCTGAATGTGGCTGCATCCTCCGTCTGCTGGCTGTTTACATATATAGATATCACGAGAGTTCCTGCGAGAACTGCGTCTCCAGGGTGGGTCTAGTTCTAGTGGGGTTCCTGCTGGGATTGCGTATCGGTGGTCCTGGGCTGCCATAGCCCGCCGCATACAGCTGCGGGCACGAGTCTTTTATGAGTTCCTGCGTCTCGCGCAGCTGCCGCTGAACCTGCGGCGCCAATCGCTGCACGCTGATGGCCGGCGGGAACTTGTACTCCGCCGCCGGAGCGGGCTGCAAAAATTAAAAAAAAAAATTTTTTATGCCGGAAGAAATAAGTTTTCTAAGAACATATACACACTAAAACAAGTACCTAAATGTCGTAAATTTTAAAATATACATGTATGTATAATAAATGTTTATCTTCGTTTTAAAAAACAAACATTCTTTAATCCTTGTTAAGGATTAATAGTTTGTTAACTTTGTCAAAGTTTCATTTTTGAGAAAACGGAATAAAAATAATTCAAGTTCTCATGCGTGTATTTTTTAATGTCATTAAGGACTGTTTTAAATAATGAAACTATCTAAAACTTGTATAAAAAAATTGCTTCTAGTTTTTCCTTACTTTTTTGCAGCATTTAAAAATGTTTAAAAATACAGAAGATGTTAAAAAATGGCCAGTTAACCAAATTTTTAAATTAGAAAAAAATAAAAACATTACATTTTTATTCGCGATTTTATAGTACTTAGAAAAATATTAATACAAAGATTTTTTGTTTGAGCTAAGAGGTTAACTTTTTTTGATTCGCAAATAAAAATGATCAGTAAAAGAGTGAACTATAGAAGTACATATATTCAAGTATCAACTAACCCTGATTCAAAATATTTAAAATTAGTTGAGGCATTTTCTCAATGCTTATTAAGCTATATGCTTTTAAAAAGCTTGAATAATATTTGCTAACTGAAGTTTCATTGAGATCTGTCGAGGACTTCTACGGAATAATTACCTGTACGCCGTGCATCATCTCGCCGTAGTAGGCGCCCGGCGGAGGCGGCGGCGGCTGTTGCTGCTGACTTTGGCTGTGTGGAGCGGTTGGCGGTTCGTACGTTTCGGGGGCGTTGGGAGCGGCCGTCGCCGTCGGGGGGCAGTGCTCGGGGGGGCGGCACCGTAGTAGGCCAGCTGCAGGGGCCCTCGTCCCGCTGCGATTCCGGAGATGGCGCCGGCGCCATTGAGGAAACCGCCACTCGAGCCGGCGGCAATATACTGAACGGAAGGAGGCGGGGCCGGCGGTGGGCAGGCGGTACTGCCCGGCGGACCAGCTGCGACGGTACTGCCGTAGATCAGGCGCTTTGGACTCACGCTCTGCGGCTTGGTTCCGGCGGGAAGGGACAACAGATATTGCTGTTGCTGCTGGTAGAGTTGCTGCTGCTGTTGCTGCTGCTGCTGCTGCTGCTGCTGCTGATGTTGCTGCTGCAACTGGGCCAGTTGGGCCGCTGCTGCCGCCGTGGACGTGTTGACAACATTGGGATCCAACTGGGGCAGCAGGATTAGTTGTTGCTGCTGCTGCTGCTGTTGGTAGAGCACCGCTGCCTGTTGCTGCTGCTGCAGCTGCTGCTGCCGCCCCGCCAACACATGCTGAGGTAGATACTCCGTCGTGGGCAGCGTGACTATCGTTGAGGAGGAGGCGGTGACCGCCGCCGCACTGGAAGGCTGGAGCAGCAGGCCGGCGCCACGTGGTGGCTGCTTTAGCGGCACCTGCACCTGGCGGATGGGCGTCGTCTGCAGCGAGCGGCTGGCCGAGGAGCAGATGGAGGCCGTGATGCTAGCGGACTCCCAGTGCTGGCGCAGGGCGTTCAGTCGGGCCTCTTCCAAAGCGATCTCCGTCTCGCTGGCCGAGTCGTAGTCGGGACCCTGGAAAATCAGTGAGTTTAGCCAGATTCATAGAGCACAAGAATTTAATTTAATTTAAGGTCTAATGATCAAAACATTTTTCCAACACACTCCCAAAAATATTTTGATAAAAAAAGAAATTCAATTTAAATAGATTCGATTTTTTATATTAATTTGATTTGCTTGTGATTTATTTTAATTTTGGCTGAGCAAACCATACTATGTAATTTTTACAAATTTTTAAGAATTACATTTAAATATTTAAAAAATGTATAACTTTATTATCTCGGATCTGATTCCAAATCAAAATTTTAATCTTTATATAACACACGTTTTTTTTTCCGTGCATCTATTTGACTTCTCTTTGAAGTCTGATCACCAGGTAACAAGCGAATTTTAATGGTTTTCCACATGTTGTTGGCAAAAAAAAAACAAATTAGAGGCCATAAAGCCAATTGTTTTGCTGTTTCGATAGCGCAACCAAATATTTTGTATATTTCTATTCTGATCATTGGGCAGCAAGCCATTTGTTTATTATCACGAAACAGCCAATTACATATCAATATTATGACTATTAGAACCAAAACGTTGTCCAATTTAGTTCTTCAAGATATATTTAATGAAATGATTTTCTTTCCAAATGTCAACAAAGGCTTAGATGAGATTAAAATCAATTTATACTCTGTCAAAAAATATGTTTTGACGTGTAAATCAATATAATTTATGATTTTATAGCGGCGGGCGTGTAAAAAAGATTTAAATTGCATATTAAGTATACGTATTATTTAAATTTTTGATTTTCTTTTTATATAATTTTTGTGTTTAAGAATTTCTTGTTTTTCTAGCACTAAAACTTCTTAAAACACTAGTTTGATGCTTATCAACTGGTAGTTTTGAAAATACCCTAGATATTTTATATCATTAATCCCCAGCTATTTTGTAATTTTACGTGGCCTCTCACCTCATCGATCTTCTTGTCCAGCATCCGGAAGAAGTTCTGTTGGCTAGATGATATTTCCCTGGAAAAGTGAGGTGTTTATTTTCGGTTAGGCGGGCAAAGGGATGTCTTACTGGCTTTGGAGCAGCGACAGGTTCTTGGCACGCAGCAGGGAGACGGCCACGTCCTCGTCGCTGTCCTGGATGTCCTTATTGCTTAGCTCCTCGCTCTCGTCGTGCTTCTCGCGGTCGCGTTGTTGTGCCTTCTCGGCATCCTCGATGTGGCCTTCGTCCTCGTCCGTTTCGGCATCTGAGTCAGCTGCCAAACAAATGGATAATGCCAGGGAAGAGTTTCGAGCATTAGTCAAGATGAGTGGGCAATTTCGCGAGTGCCACGGAGTGGCAAAAGTTTTGCAATAAACCAAGTGGGGCAACTTCTGTGGGGGGCCATTCAAGTAAAAATGCTTAGAAAACAGTTGTCGAAATTATGCTAGGACATAGGAGGAAATGTGGACACTTAAAAAAACTAATGTCCCCATAAGATGATTTAAAAAAAAAATCGTAAAAAGTTTGAAAAGAGTTTTTCGAACAAACAGCCCATTTACTTTTTAGTTTTAAACATTCCTTTTTTACTTCTTCGCTCTCCTTTTGCTAATCCATCTTCCGTAACGTTCGGCTTGACCTGCGTATACTTAATATTTCCTGGGGCCATTCTTTGAAGTGGTTCTGCTACCCATAAATTTAATTAAAAACCGTTATGCATTTTAATGCAAATTCAAAGAGAGCCAAGTATTATGAATAATTAATCTAGAACCGAGACTAAAGCTTAGGCGTCTCCGAAAAATTTGGGTCGTTTATGGCACAATGGCGCCTTTGTGTATGCTATACTTTTTAGCTTTAACCCTTTTACACACAGACACACTTACAGAGGACCTAGCGGGTTGGCCACACCCCTCAAAGCGGCGCCCACTGCAACAACAAGTTGCCTTTTTAGCAGTTAATTATACATACACGAAAAAAAAAACAAGAAACACGCTCACTCACAGCCACAAAAGCCCCTTTCTTTTGGGCATAGTCAAAAGTTTGCCATGTAGGCTAGGTTTTTTACATTTTTATAAACTTAAGAGCAAACACACACACTCACGCACACACACACACACGGCAGCTAGTGTGTGTGTTTTTGGTTTATACTATATATAGACAATGCTCTGGGCTTTAAAATGTAGGCCTTTTTTATAACTGAATGCATGGCCTTAAAACTGGGCTTCTGCTTTCTCCCTCTCCCTCCCCCTCCACCACCGCTCTTCTTGCTGCTGGTGACATATTAATCAATGGTGTCCTCATTGTGTGTAAACAGGTGGCTCACATACACGTACACGCACAGACACATGCACAGCTGGAGGCAAATTGATGTCGTCATGCGTGTAAGCTTTGTTGTGCGAGGCAATACTTTTTTCCCCTCATTTCCCCCCATTTCCCTTTCTCTACACAGGAGAAGAAAATGTTAATATTTCTATAGATCTTTTTCATCTTTTTCTATCGAAATAATCAAAAGTATCAAAACAATATCCATTTTATTAGGCAAAATGATCAACAAGAATGTATAGGTATACAAAAATAGATGACTTTTAACTTTTCTCGAAAATATACAAATGTTTTTTTCCATTGATCGAATATTTTTTCTTAATAAAAATAAAACATATAATAGAATACGACATTTTATATAAAATAGTTGGTTTTGTAAATTTAATATCACTATGAAAATAATATTACTATGAAAAAGTATGAAAGTATTGCACAATTTTCTGTGTAGGTATTGCATTTGTTAAATAAAATTTATAATAAAGTTTATAGCTATTGGCTGTAGGTTTTTAGTTATTGGATCAGGTCAAGATCAGGTTCTTAAGCAATGATTGGGACATTTTTTTTGGTGCACAATAGATGGATCATATAATGTCAGGCACTAAAGGATATGCTCTTTTTTGTGTACTCACCATGCCCTCCTTTCTTGCCGTTCGCTTTACTCTTCGATTTCCTGGGATACAAGTGTATCTTACTCTGTCCACAGCCCATCTTTTGAATGTGCCGCTGCCTCTAGAAATCCAGAATCGCTGCTGCTTCGGCTTTTGTTGTTGTATTCAATTTGTGTTTCTTTTTCTTTATTATTAATTTGTTGCTCGACACGTTGCTCTCCCGCTCTGTCTGCCGCTCGTCACTCTGCACCTCTCGTTCTGGCTGTCTTTTATTTACGTTTGTCGTCTATTCTTCCTTCTGTTTTATTCAATTTCCACTAATTTAACTATGTGTGTAAATTTAATTTATTTGATTTGATGTTGTTGCTTTTGCCGCTGCTGCGTCTGTTGCCGTTGTCAATTTCGAAAGATTCAGGCAGCAGCAACAAACGCTCCTCGAGGGGAAATACATTTGTGCGTGAGTATTTCTCACGGAAAATACCACCCAAGCCACCCACTCGGCCAGCCACCTATTTCCAGTTCTAACCAAATACAGGCCAACTTGGCTAACTCAAGTAAATTATTAGGGTATTAAATAAACTGAAGACGTCTATCTAAAAGTTTTCTAAATAAGAAAACTCTCAATACGAATTGAGATTTAAAAATATAGTTCTACGATTTGATGAAATTACATTCCCTTTATAATACTTTTAGAATTTTCTTGTGAAAAAAATTAGTTTCTTGAAAGAATTTTTAACAAATTTATTTATGATTCTTATTATGTTTTGTAAATATGTGAATTATAGTGTTTTTGAGATCTCTATGTTGTTAAGATTGGAAAAGTCGATTTCTCAAGTTTTTTACTTAATAGTAAGCCCCACAAGTCAGATTAAGTTCACTAAAATGCTATTACTCAGTTCTACCTATAGATGTATTACTGTACTAACATTTCCCATATTTATTTGTCTTCGGTATTTTGGGGACTTTAGCGGAAATTAAGTGGGTCCCTTGGCTGGCACTCAACCACTTGTTTCAGCCGTGCTATAAATTCAATTTGCAGCGTCAATTTGTAAACAGGACAAACCCATAAAAGGGTTTTCTGGACCAGGGCTCCAGCACTACGCAACTCGCTCTCCTTGAGAGCTTGTGGACCTGTGGTTGTTGTTGACGTTTTTCGCTTTCTTGAAGGTGGATCAAAACCGCACGCCCTGTTGGTTATGTTGTTATTGGTAGTTTAAACAAATAATAACAATAATAAGCACAACAAATAGTGCAACCAAAACACTTGAATTATATTCAATTATTCGCAGAAAGAGTGAGAGTATTCGGCCACTCGCTCGCTCGCTCTTTTGCTCACTGGGATATTATAATAGACACCGACACGGGCACACGCACGCACACAAGCTCCACTTTCGGGGGAGGGCAAAAAAATGAGAGAGCACCGAAAAGAGAGAGCCCGTGTGTGTGTGTGTGTGTGTGTGTGTTGGTGAGAGCTTCGGCCCGCTCATCGCGTGCGAAATTGATTTTTCTATTTATAAAAAAAAAATCAAAATATATCCGCTTGGCTCGCATCGCTTTTTTTGATCATTTTATTTTTGTTGCCGCCAACTGGCAGCGAAACATAATTTATGTTTTATTTATGATTGCCGGATTTATATTAAATTTTCATATCCCTGGCGATTTTTGGCTGCCGCTGTTTGATTTCGACCCGAAAGAAACTTGTTTGATTTATCACATTGACCACTTGGGCACATTTGGCCCGAATGAAAACACAGACACAAATACACTATCAATTGCAGCATTTACCGCTAAACGAACATCATATTTATTTACACCAAACTTCTAATTACTAAGAGGAACTGTAGGCCATTTATCGTGGGATTTCAAATTATTTACACTGGCTTTTCCTGCGGAAAACTTTGCCGAAAAGTATCTGCGACGCGCTGCGAGTGTGTGGAATTTTGTATGCTGAAATTTATGCTGCCTGACACTCCTCTTTGTGTCACAAAGAGAGCGAGTTCTGCGGGAGAGGGCTCTCCGCGCGAGAGAGCGTCATTCCAGCACACACACAGCGACGAGGTGAGTGCCCAGTGAATTGGGGGTGGGTTTTCCGGCAGAGCTTTCGCACAGGGGTTCAAATGCTACCGCGGAGCTGGAGCTTTCGGGCAAGCTTTGGGGGGTGGCGGAGCCAAATCGCCAAATTGAATAAAAAGCTCTCCGAGCTCTCAAAAGCTACCCCTCTAAGAGGAGTAAGCTTTAAGCTTGGGACTGGAAACTTTTCGAGTTGGCAACGCGAAAGCTGCTCCACAAAGCTCCTCCAGAGGTTAGCCCTTGTTCTTAAACTTTAAAAAAGGCTGTATACAGTGAAAACAATATATTGTTTCAATCAACATCATTAGAAAGATCATCTTCATGTGCTTACTAACAAAACATCTACAAATTGACATTACCAGAAGAGAAATCGCCTAATGACCTTTCAAACTAAATAAATGTGGTGATCTTCCAAAAATATCTTTGTTATAAATATAAAGGGAGGGGTTAATGTTATTCTTTCTTCCATAATTACCTAGATATGACAGAGCCAGAAACACCCTGTATTGTCTGCAAAATAGGTTTCCTCAAGTTCCCCGAATTTCGCGAAATTTACATTTTTCTTAATGGAGTGAATAATATATAACAAGTTTTTATCACTTTAGTACCTTTTCATATTTATATAAGGATGTTTTTAAACTTTTATTAGGTTTTGAAAAAAGTGAAAAATAAAATGTTTATGACGTAAAATGTGTTGGCCTTTAAATGTTAACTGAAAGCTTAGTCAACCAAAAGCAGACGTCCATATTTAAATCTTCATATATTTCCTTATGTTACAAAGACTCGCAAAAAACTCGCGCCCTGTCATGTTAGGCCTCATTAATTTCCACAGCAGTGACTCCTGACCATCGCTCCGCTCCACTTCTGCTGGCCAAAAATCAGGACCAGCCAACAACCCCCTGCCAACCCTCCTTTCGGCATTACATGTAGATGGCATTATTTATTGCATAATAATGAAGTGAGAAACGTTACAAATCAAAACACTCGACAGCATCGAGATAAACTTTGGTCCGTTTCCATTCACTCGATTTTTTTTTATCATTATAATATATTTTTGGGGCAGAAACTTTCGCATTTTTTCCATGCATTTGTCAGCCGCAACGGAATTGAAACGTTTGCGCTTTTATTGCCACGGACGTGTGTCGTCAGGGGGCAGGAATTGCGACTATATCGTTCTCAAGGGGTGGACATCTCGGACTGGTGGGAAAAATATGAAATGTATATGGCCATGGTGGACAGGAAGTAATATACAACAAATGCCAAATGATATCTTCCCAATGATCTTTTGGATTGGTCTAAAACGGGGTGGCATTTGCCGTATTTTATTAATGGTTTTAGATGGAGTTAAAGAAAAAGCGTTCGTTAAAGATACCAAATAAAAGTTATAGGGAATATATATTAATTCCTTTTCCTTAAAAGTATAATGCAGACAGCTAAGAAACTTAGATTGTTCTAAATAATTATATTAGTTTTGCCATTCTTGACAGTTTCAATCCATATTTTCAATATTTTGTAATGGTTACATTTGTTTTTAAGGTATTTATTTTATTTTTGTTTTTTACCTCGAGTTTTGGTAAACCAAGCAAGGACTTTTTGTACTTGTAATACGACGATCTTCGTATAAGTTTTCGGTTTAAATTTATAAAAGTTTCTAAAATATAAGAGCGGAATACATGCATCGCTCCTTAAAAAGTTAACACATAAAAATTGAAATTAATGTCATCGTTTTTAGCCAAAGATATTTTATTTCATATTTCGTTTAATATTAAAGTAAGGTTTAATTGTGTAAAAGGTTTTGAGAAAATAGGAATTGTGAACATAATCTTCTGATTCCATTGGTTTAACTCTGCTCTTATAAACTGACCTCCCAACCACCCAACAGTTGCTACTCCAGAAAAGCTCCCCCGAATTCTGTTTATCCAGCGAAAGGATTGTCATTGTCCCTTTGGTTAACTGCTGATAATGGCAACATATGTTTCTGTCACATTGTTTGGCATTTTTCTCGCTGTCTGCAACAGTTTGAACCTGCTGGGGAGTCCTGCCAGCATTTAGGCAAATTTTCGCACTCCTTTCGATCTGCGCCCCCCAGAAAAACAATTTACATAATTTTCAGCGATTTTCCGCAGCTCTTTCCTGATTTCCCTGCCTTTTGGGACGGGCGCTACTGATGATTTTCGTTGTTTGGGGTAAAGGAGTTCGGCGGCAGTGAATGACGTTTGATGCGGTGGCGGCAGCGTTTTGTTTAAATCTCGGCCGTCGATTGTGACTATCATGAAAGTGGGCGTGTCCGCCAGCCACGTGACCGCACGCGTTGTGTTGAATTTAACACGGGACGGAGTTCTTCCGATCCGGAGACTTGGGTGCAATGCAAATGGGGTGCGGTGCCAGCCAGCCAAATATTTTTTAAACTTTTTGCCTTGGCGAACGCGTGCAGCCAATAAGTCCTTCATCACTTCCGCTTCAGTTCAGTTCCGTGATTTTGCACAAATAATGTTTTGATTGCGTGGCAGCGTGACGTGTAATTATTATCGCCGCACACAATCGCCAACAACAAAGACTAAACCCCGGATTCCGGGGGCTCTTGGGGGAGAATGCCCGAGTGCGGCAAAGCAATTAAAATGATTTGCCAGATTCAAACAAGCGAGAAGATCCTACGGACTGGTAATGGATCAATGACGACGGTATGGGAACTAATACTTCACACAAGAGGCTGCTAGATAAACACAATGATATTTTATAGAAGCACTCAGCAATAATGAGAATGACTAATCAAGACTTTATATATTTAACATTTAAACTGTACGCTTTTCATCTAAAAGAAAGGCAGAGATAATAAATGTTTCCAAGCCTTAAAGTCATAAATCACTTAAATTTATATGATAAGCCTTATCAAGAAGGAAAACTTGCTATAATACAAAAAATGTAAGTGACACTAAAGTTATCATGAACTATATTCTTTATCTCAGTGGTATTTTGTCTTACATTAAAAAAAAAAACAGAGTTTGTTCTTAGATAATTAAAAAAAAAAATATTTAAATATTTATACAACACTTCAAAGCCTAGATAAAACCATGAATTGAAGACCCAAAAGGTTCCAAATGTCTTTAATTAAAAGAGATCCCGAAAAAACCCAACATTTTCCTAGAAAAGTTCTTAAGGACACTCACTCGACTGCAACAAATCACAAATTAAAAATGGCTGACAAAAAATTATGCAAATTTCTGTGGCGCCCAATCCTTTACAGGACAGTGAAAAAATTTCATTAAAAACAGCAGCAGCGCAAGAAATCTTTTGATAAAAATTAAAAACTTTTCACTGAAGGACAATTGACAAGGCGAAAAAAAAGATGAGAAAAAGAACAAAAATAAAACAGCAGAAATTGTGAAATGATGAAACAAGGAATTAAAACAAGCAATAATAAAATATTATGACAGCGTGGAAATGAGGAAGGAGTCGCTGAAATATTTAAATTTCGCCAAGCTGCTTTTATATAATTTTAATGTCCTTTTTCCAGAGCCTCTTAAGGTCCAGCCAAGTGGAGTGCGACTTGCCGGCTGCTTTGCATAATTATATTCATTGAAAACTTATTTTCTTCAAGTTTTCCGCAGCAGGAAAATATTAAAAAAAAGGAAAAATCGCCGACGAAAAGAAATCCGAGAGCTGAATTGAGTTACAACGGGAGAAGGCGAGAAGAGAAACAGTTTTTGACATTTAATTGCTAGAGAACTGCATGGAGAAGGGTGCGGAGAATGGAGGTGGAGAATCGGAGAAGAGCTGCCCAAATGTCCACCACTTTACTTGGAGAAACTCGTTTCAATGGCCGGTCCTGAAGATGCTGGAACTGCTGCTGCAGAAGAAGAGGACCGAAAGCAGAGGAGCTCGTCCGAGAGAAAAAGAAAAAATGTAACATGATTTAATGACATGAATTATTTATGAGTTTCCTGTCAATCAAAAACCACGTCAAAGCATTTTGATGGCGATGTCAACGCGCCAGTGAGCAAAACACACGGTGCTGCCTTGCAGAGAAGCGGTGTTCAAGATGCGTAAAAAACAAAATACGAAAAAATAAAAATAAACAAACATCCAAGGTAGCGAAATATATAGTTGGGTAAAAGTTGGCAGGAGCCTCTGCGAAAGTTTAAGGTCCCAAATGAGTATGGTACAAAAGTAACTTACTTAGGAAATGGAAGAAAGAAAAATTAAGTTAATAAATAAATAAAAACAGAGGTTGCTATTTCCCTATGTAGACTAAAAAAAAAGTTAAAAAAATAATTTTAAAGGAAAACAAACTAAACACAATGAGTTTTATGAAACACAAGTTTTTAAAATATTGTATATATTTGGAAAAAACGTTAAAATCTCTTAAAATATCTTTCAAAAAAATTGGTATTTATAAATTAAATAAATTTGTAAGAAAAATTGACTTTAGTTATAGAAGATGCTGAATGCAAAAACCTGGAGAAAAGTAATTCTTTTCTCAAGCTCTATTTTATATATTTAAAGTTCTTGGGTCCTATGTTTTATTGTCCTAAATAAAAAAAGCAAATCATCCCCGTACAGCCAATCAATATTTTCTTAAATACCAACAAATAGCTGCACAAATGATATGCTAATTTCTAAGCTTTTTAATCAAGCCAAAACCGCCTGTGAATTTGCATTTTGTTTACTTTTTTCCCTATTGTTTTGTCAGTACAAAAGTGTGTTCCATTGAAGCCCTCCGAATGAAATCAATCATGTAATTTATGTTAGCATAATATGCCCACCAACAGACGATTCCAGCACGCCTGCCGCCGAAATGGACTGCCAAGAAATAAATATTTAACAATAATTGATTTAAAAGTCGCATGCAAATGTGCCACGACGAAGGACGAGTGGCGTCTTC